TAATCCCCCTTATGTATGCTGGGAAGTAGTTGAATAATCTCGGGCCCCTGACACTTACTGTGTTGTCTCTTAGTGTACCTAAGGCACCCCTGCTTTTCATTGGGGGGATGTTGCACCGCCTACCGAGTTTTTTGCTCTCATAGGAAGTAATTTTTAAGTACAGATTTGGGACTAATCCTTCAAGGATTTTTCAGTGTAAATTATGATGCATCTTTCTTGCCTGATTTCCAATGAGTACAGGTCAAGGGACTTAAATCATTCCCAGTAATTGATATGCTTTACTGTACTTAAACATGCAGTGAAAGTTCTCTGTATATTTTCAGGATCTGCAGTTTCACCTGCCTTAGTTTTGTGTATGTGTGTTCAAGACTATGAAGCTGAACACATCTCAAGGTGGAGGGAATAACCACCTCAAAATTACTTATTTCCGGCTGTTGAACTGATCATAAATACATCTTCACCTCACCACTGCATTTGCTCTCATATTGAGTAACCTCAGCATTATGACTGAAGAAGCATGCTGTGTATTATTATTATAATCAAAAAGAAGCGCTAAGCCAGCATGCTGTGTAGGTGAAATGTTTCAGTTGATACCTAGCTGCTGTTGTCTTAGTCATCAACTCAGTAATTTTTTTTTTTTACAGTAGACTGATAAGCCAGAGGAAGGTCTCTGTTCATAGATCAAGTAATATTACATTCATTAGGGGAGTACTAAACCCATAAGGATCATACACCACCTGGGAAATGGGAGGCAGTGAGGTTTGATCCAGAGAGAGGACAAAAACAATTGCTTGGATCAAGAGCCCCCTCACTTGAATCAATTATTATTATAATCAAAAAGAAGCGCTAAGCCACAAGGGCTATACAGCGCTGCTCACTTGAATCAAGAAATCTTCTTTGGGCCTCATTAAGAAAAAGTTTCCCTGGTGACTAACCTATTGCCACAAGCCATTTAGTGGTGGTAGTAAGAGTGAAGGTGAAGCCCTGAGGTTGAGGAGTGTGGCACAAGTGTTACTAGCTGCTGAACATGTTCCTGTACACAGGTGTTGTACAGGTGTGTTGGATGAGTCACTAGTTCAACACAGCACTGTGCTCATCACTATGTGCATAACTCGCTATCTAATTTATTTTTTCTCAAATTAAAAACCTAGCAGAATATGAGTTGATATTTCATAAAATATTTTGTGCATATTATATATACTATTATTATATTCATGGGGAGAGCGATAAATTTGTAGGGGTGATACAACGCCTGGAAGGATGGGAGGCAATCAGGGTCGATCCAAGAAAGGGGAGGCCAGGTCCAGTTTCTTGGATCTAGAGCCTCTCACCCACATCACAGAACCTCCTTTGAGGGGGGAATAAAGAATATTTTATTTGAATCATGGGTGAAGCACAGAACTTGCAGGGGTTACAGTCTGGGGAATGGGGGGCATTAAGGGAAAGAACAATTCCAGTTCCTTGGACCAAGAGCCCCTCACTAGCCTCGAGGCACCTCGTTTGAAGGAAAGAAAACTAAAATTTGCTCCAATAATTTGTTTGATAAAAGGAAAGGAAGGGCTTCAGTCTGTAGGATCAAGAGGTCTTCACTGGCATCAAGGTACCACCCTCACTCAGAAGAATACAAGAGGATTAGTAAAGGTCCTGGAAGCAGAATGTCTTCTCAACAAGTATCCAGGTACCAGACGTCTCTCTTACATACAAGTGATTTGAACAAATTGATTTTGTAATTACTGTATTATCATGAGGGGAAAGAAGCACTAAACCCATAAGGGTTATACAGTACCTGGGGAATGAGAGGCAGTCAGGTTCAATCCAAGGAAGCGGGAAGACAGGGAATATTATTAAATTCTTGGGGAAGCGCTAAACCCATATGGGACATATCATGACTTTGAATGGAAAGCAATCAAGTTTGATCTAAGAAAAAGGACAGGTCCCATTGGTTAGATCAAAAGCCCTTCACCAACATCAGGGAACCTACTTTGAGGGATCAATTATTTATACTTAAAATTTCATATCATAGATATGAGAAGAATGTGTTTGAAGTCAAAGATGAGGGGTCACAGGACACAGATTAGGTATGTACAAATTTTGTTTTGGCATGTTAATGGGTGGAAATTGATTACTGATACTGAATTATTACTCATGGGAGAACATACAGCATCTGGGAGAATGGGAGGTCATACAGCATCTGGGAGAATGGGAGGTCATGGGTGTCATACAGCATCTGGGAGAATGGGAGGTCATGGGGGTCATACAGTATCTGGGAGAATGGGAGGTCATGGGGTCATACAGCATCTGGGAGAATGGGAGGTCATCAGGTTCAATCCATGGGAGTTCAGCTTCAATTTCTTAACTCAAGGAACCTTCCTTGAAGATTAGAAGGCACAGAGCTACTAAAAGTATTATTAAAGAGGGCTGGGAAGAGGATGTTGAGTTGGTTCAGACATTTAGAGAGGCTGGAGCAAACTAGGATGACTTGGAGGGCATATAAATCTGTAGTGGAGGGAAGACCGGGTAGAGGTTGCCCTAGGAAAGGTTGGTGGGACTGAGTAATGGTGGTTTTGTGTGCAAAGAAGGGCTTGGACATCCAGCAAGCATGTGTAGTGTGAGATAGGAGGTAGTGGAGGCAGGCAGTTTTTATGACGATGTGCTGTTGGTGTGAGAGCAAGGTAACATTTATGAAGGAATTCAGAGAAACTGGTTAGCTGGACTTGAGTCCTGGAGGTGGGAAGTATAGTACCTGCACTCTGAAGGAGGGGAGGATATATATATTTGCAGTTTTGAACTGTAGTAGACAGTGATAGAGTAAGTGATGATGATGACAGTGTTTCTTCTTTTACAGGTTACCCTGCCGCAGTGGGAAACGACTGATGTGTTAAAAAAAATTAATGCACATGTTGCACTCTGAAGACCATAAAACAATAAAAAACTACAACAAAACATACATAAATACTATTACACCAAGTTAAAATTTTTGTTACAGTGTTAATATCAAAAGATTTTTTGAAAGTTCTCCCAGATCCCTATAAGCATCCTAGCACAGTAATTATAAAAACCACTATGAAAACAAAAAAGCCTATGCAAGAGGAAAATAGTTACAATGTGTTCAACATTCTGCCTCATGGTACAAACTACATAGAGGAGGCAGCAACTGCAAAAGTGACCTTGGGTGAAATGGGTATGCTCAATCTTCCACATATAATTATCTTGTGAAGATTCCAGGTTAAAAAATCAACACCTTTGTCCTGCCAAACCCTGTATAACTTGCTGATCTGTAGGCCCAGCCACTTTTCGACATAGCTATGTAATGTACTAGTAATCAGGAGGGCCTGATTCCCTCAAATGTCTGCTCAACCCTTGTCAGTTATGATCTACTGACTGATTTAGTAGGGTTAGTACTGAACCCTCCTATGTGTGGTCACTAATGGGCTGCAGCTCCAGAGGTAAGACCTACTTCCTACTGAAATAGGGGTGTCCTGTATATGATTGTCCATACACAGCTGTCTACTTAGTTATGACTACCCCTGGTATAGGAAACCCTATCATCTAAGCTTACAATTCTTCATCACAAAAAAAAGGCAGCAGCCTAAAGAGTGTCGAGCCTTTACAGATAAAGCATTTTTTTTTTTTTTGTGTCGGTCTTTTCTCACCGAGGCAGGGTGACCCGAAAAGAAAGAAAAACTCAAAAAGAAAAAACTTTCATCATTCAACACTTTCACCATCAATCATACATAATCACTGTCTTTGCAGAGGCGCTCAGATACGACAGCTTAGACGTCCCTCCAAACTGCCAATATCCCAAACCCCTTCTTTAAAGTGAAGGCATTGTACTAAACATATAAAATTGGCTAAGAATAGAAAAACTGTGTTCAGATTATATTAATCATTTATTGGTGACTAGTTACAGATGCTACTGCTTTCTTTTTATTTACACGAGATCTCCCTTGGAACCCCATGGCTGGAACCTTAAATTGTTAGTTTTCACAAACAAAACAGGCTCCTCAGGTGATGAATGGGTAAGATGTTATAACATTTCTTAAGGGTAAATTGTTAAGTTTTCAACTGCTTTACACCTTAGATACTAATCCCAGAAAGTAGATTTTTCTTACACATTACATATGCAGTGAAACTATTTTACTGTGCAAAGGGAGTAAGACATAACTCTTCCCAGGCCTTTTATGACTCAATTATAAGAATTGCAATGAAGAAAACCAGTAATGTAAGAAACATTAAATGATTAGAACATAGATTAAGTTCTTATGTTATTCTTCACTAGGAAAAAATAGTTTCTCTGGCAAAGCAGTTTGATTACTATATAGGTTAATGTCTATAATGATACCCGATGCAGCACACAATTTTGAAGTGAAAAATACAATGGCTCTTATGATACTGAATGTATCACTATGATACCTAATTATTGGCTAATTTTCACAGGTATGATTTTAAATCATGTTATATGGGGTCAAACTAATCTAAATCATTTAATATTTTACCCTTTTATTCCACAATATATGTCCCACGGACGGTACTTATGCACTCTCAGAAGAGCTATAAAGTATTTAGGAGATTTACTTATCAATAACAAGAAATATTACTGTACAGTGCCAGATACAATGTGGCATAATCTTTATGGTCATTACTTACATCATTAGGAATGTATTGTTATTCACACTATAAACTTGTAGCAAAACAGTATAATCTATCTATATGCTGAGAAACACACCCTTGAACTGCACTATGCTGAGGCTAATAACACTTCAATTAAGGCTTATTGGTTAGCAACACTGTAAATACCATATGTATTTTAAACATTTATACAGTATACAAGTTCTAGAGGAGATCATGCATTCAAGAAGAACAAGAAGTCAGTCTTCCATTTTACAATACAGTTCAAAATTTTCATCTACAATGTAATAACTGTTTAAAATGCAAATGAATCTTAATTGGTAGGAGGTTCTTCACACTTCCAATTAGATGTCATGGTTAATAGTTACTGTAGTTGCTCCACAAACCTATGCAACACAGCACACATTTCTACTAAAACATCAGCAATGGCAGTCAACATGAACCACTTGTAACACCATCTCTATAACCAATGTTCAATTTAAACCTTCAGTATCTGTAGAACTGTGTTACTAGTTATTTTATGTACTCTCAAAAGGTTTGTACCTTTAAGTAATTTTAATAATAACCGCACTTACATTTTTCAAGAGAAAATGTGTATCGATTTAAATATTAGGTTTATACTCACAGTCGAGTACAAAAAGTTTACACCTAATTTTGAGTAGATCAGATATAAATTGAACACATTCCACATACAGCCTTATCTCTGAGTGTTTATGTATAATCATTAACTCATACAAACCTCACAATAAATAACAAGTGATCCTTTATAACTAATTTCACTCATTCACAATGCATTCAACAATCAAGGAAATTTATTTTTTAAAGGAAATAATATGTACAATAAAATAAATTACAATGGAGATTGAACTAAAATATGATCATATATACATCTGGGATAGCCCAATATCTACCAGTAGCTAATGAATGTATCATGTTGGCGCTTACTTGCCACACATAAAACTGTGACACTTTTATTTTCATTAAAGTGAAATTTTCTATATCAATTCTAACTAGTAACACCATGTCTAAAACATATTACAGATTTTATTAAATAACATCATTTGAAAGAAAAAATCCTATTCCTTTTCCTTATATCTACACACAGACTATCCCATCCAAAATATAAAAAAATTAACATGGACAATCCAATTGTACTTTGTACCAATGTGTGGTACTAACAAAATGTCAGTTAATAAAAAGTTCCAATACTAATATAGATTTTGTTTAAGAAATCTGTTTATTCATGGTAATGAGGATACGAGCATTCAAAATATGGGGTAGAATTATGCACTGAACATTCTGCTCAGGTAAACTACTACTGTATTACAATTTATTCTTTACATCATATCTGAAAATTGAAGCATCCTGTTACAATTTTTGTACAATAATTTATTACTTTATAAGTGGGACAAAGAATGCTTTTACTTTAGTGAATTGTTAAACTTTAACCCTTTAACCAAAATATGTATTTTTCACAACCTTGGCCTAGAAGGTAAAGTATCACTGAAAGAAAAATTAATGAGACTAAACAAGTCCAAACAACGTTCATTTCATATATGCCACTTCGTTTTCATTTTTATAAAAATGATGCAATATGAAACAAATAAATATTAAAACATGAGATGAAATGGAGAAGCTAGAAATGAAAAGGACTGGCAAATACTGTTAAATACTGAATAAATTACTTATTTTCAGCCAAGATGCAATTACTGGTGGTTTTATTTACTGTCATTTCTTATTTCCAGTTTTCTAGATATCCATGTTCTTTGCTTTCTGCAGTCCAAAGGTGTTAAATAACTTCATCTCACATTGGCTTGCATGCAAGCAAGCACAAACATACCAATGAAAACTAAATAAAAAAAACCTTGAAGAGCTTAAAGTGATAAAACTTAAAATATATCACCGAAGGGTACACTCAATCACTGTTTTGCTGGGATTCTATCACAGTTTGTCATCAGCTGTAAGGCTTAGCTAAAATCACATTAAAACTATAATGCAATGCTCACACATTGATTAATGAAACAAAAGTTTCTAATCACACTTGGGGGGGAAAAAAAAAACACGGGTTTCACTAGGTCCCATAATCATAAAAATTATAAAAAAAAATAAAAAAAAATAAAATAAAAAAATATACAAGAAAGACTGCAAGAACTATTTCTCACATAGTGGGAAACAGTGTTGTACAACACCAACACCCACTGGTGAGCCAACTCACCAGCAGACCATGCTAAGGATGCTCTACCAACTACAGTAGTTGGACACAACATAAGGGAATACATGAGTTTCATGTATAGCGCCACATTTGTATGGTGTGTGAACACTATTGATAACAAAAGGAAAAAGGTGGGAGATTGTTTGATATAACTCTCTGTCAATTTTGTGGCACTGTTCTATATGCTGAAGAGAATAAAGCTGCATATATGACCTGAGAAACTATGCAGCATAGTTTGTTCATTCTTACTATTTCACTCACCATCTTTTCCCTAGATGTCATCCCTCACACGGCACCCAGTACATGAATGCAACCATTCTGTCAGGATTTAAGTTTAGTCACTGTTTTAATTTATGCGTTTTGGCCCATAGCTCAGGCCAAAAGATTTGAAATGGTAAGTGTTGTATTCAAGATCACATTACACCCATATCACACACTCCGGATCAATTGTCACAAACCTTATACATGACCATAATACTATCACTGTCTGGGTCATGTTTCTGTCACAAGACCACACGTCACATGTAGTGAAGTGCATGTTTTGGTCTATGGACGTATAAGACCTCTCTGAGTAAGACCTTCAAACCGCTTGTAGGTATAGTTGATGAAGACCCAGTCCTTATAACCTGCCTCGCCCTCCTTCACTGGTGGAGAAGCAGCTGTAGGATAAAATAAAATATAATTTTAACAAAATCAATGACATCTTAAGAGCATGGTAAATATTAATAAACTGAAACATGATATGTACAATAAAAGTATTTATAAAGCTCAATGCTCTCAGTGTCTGTAAAGGCAAAAAAATATAGAAAGGAGGGTAGTATGAAGGAGTTAAAAGTTACTTCATTATTAAAGACTGTATGAATATACAGTAAATTATACATTTTTACCATGTTCTCCTCTCCCTCTATTTAAATAAAGGTGAACCATGCAGAATCTTCAGCAACTTTTTCCCTTACAATCTTTGACACAATGTATATGCAAAAAAATCATAAAAGTTCTGGCTTTTACTTAAAATTATTATTTTCCTAGATCAGTCTACATTTTTGCAGCAAGTAAAAATGCTACTCTTGTCTAACACTGTTAATCAAGTTTCCAATTTTACATCCTTGGCATACTGGCAATACAAAAGGAGTACAGTACACCAAGGAGTCATGAACATGAAGTTGGTACATGATGGGTGGGACTGTCAGTGAATACCATAATGACTAGGTGTTAAGAACTAACTTTGGTTCAACCTATTTTAATCATGTATCACTTTTCATGTATGTCAAGAACAGCATGCATAAAACCTTCTCAGGCATTTTGGTTCCTAGAAAAAGTCACAGCTCTTAATATCAGACCCTGTAGCAAATAAAAAAAAAAATACTGAAAAAATGCATCAAGCCTATCACATAAGATATGCAATTACCACTTGCTTACACTATCATTTAAAATTCAGTAAATTTCTGCTTTTATCACAGGCATTACCTGAATAAATAACTATGTAATTTGTGTAAGAATTTCACACGAGGAATAATGTTCATGAAGTAGCCGACCAAGACAACTAACCTTGCCTTCTTGCATTCCTATAAATAACACTTAGTGAGAAAGTTAAACACAAAATAAATAATAATACATGCTGAAACATGAGATATATGCGAGCTAATTCTGAGCAGCAGAATTATATATAACACAAGTTTTCTAAGAAATAACTCCTCCAATTCAGCAGACATTGGCAAAAATATCAGCATAGCTCCAAGCTGGTAAGACTTATCTGATGCTAGAAGACAATACCTTAGTTGCTTAGAAATTTTTCATTATCATTCACAAACTACTTAAACTGTTGGTATTGTGCATCAAGTGAAAAAAAAAAAACTACAAATGCAAAGCTAAAAGAATCCAATACATAGATAGTTTATCCAGTCAACTGATACTCTCTACTGTGAAGCCACTGTGTGGTGAAACATTTCTTGAATAAAGATTCCCATATGTTTGCATAAGTGTCTCAGTTCTTCAACATAAGAATGGAGGAACACTGCACTAGGCCTCTTGGCCCATACTTGGCAGGTCTTTCACAAATCCAACCCACTAACAGAATAAACGTACCCAAGCAATAAGCATTGACAATTCTATTTACTCATTTTGACTGTATGTTAATGGAGTTACAGAAAGTTGACATCAAGAAATGCTGAACATTGACAATGATGCACCTCTTGTGCATTCCTTGAGTAATGGTGAAATTAGATGAATTGTGATCAATAAATAAGCAGTAGAGTTGATATTAGAGTCATAATGAAGTATTTTGTCGTGCCTCCTGAGAGCAGGAATTCGACTGGAACGGATTAATGCCATTTCAATTAATTTAAACGAGGAAAATTGACTCTGCATACAAACAAGGTCATGGAATGGATTAAATTCGTAAGCCAAGGTTCCACTGTATTAATAAAACGTGTCAAAACCTATATGGGTCATAAAGTACTGCGAAGCTAAGGGAAGCTCTCAACAGAGAGAAAGAATGAAGTGGTGTACACACCACTAAAGCAACCAAGTAGACTGGACAGAAAAGTGAAAGATGAACAGACTCCACATTCCTTAACTATAATAAAACCTAAGACAAAGAAAATTACTAAAATTGGAGAAGCAAACATATGATCAATGAAAAGCAAATGAAAACATTGGATAAGAATTTTTAAATTGAAAATAAAATCTTAAGTCACGAAAGTAAAAATTCTTCAGGAAATTGTTACCAGTAGTCTCATAAGAAAAAATGTCTGCCACAATAATGTACTTTTCAATTTATACAAATGCTTTGCAAGTAGGAATAAAATTCTGCAGGTAAATGTTTGCAAGTGATGCAAAAGTCCTATGCGACATGAACCTGACCTACGGCTGGGATCAGAGAATAGAAAAATTCTCGCAACTCAAAGGTAAAGGTATATATGTATTAATAAAAATATTTTGACTAAGTATCAACAAGACTGAATGCAAAATATCGCCAAAAGACCACAAATAAAATCTTGAGTAAGGCATAAGCTGCACTGGAGAACCTCAAAATAACCATCAGATATATGGATAGGAAAATATTAAAAAACACAAAAGCTGCTAAACATCTGGCAAATATTCGAATTACTAGAAATATTGTGAAATTCGAGTCCAATAATTATATGATACACTACAAAA